GGAGTTCTTCCTCAGCGTGCCTATTGCACCTCTGCTTTTCATTGGGCTATTTTACACATCCTGCAATGCCTACTGGTTTCATGTGATGTAATCACCATGTTCAGATTTGGAATCAGTCCCTCTAATATCTTCCACATGTAGATTACTGTTTTATGTATCTCTCGCTTTCATTCTAGAGAATACAGATTTAGAACTTTTAATCAGCCCCAATAATTCAGATGACTTATAGAGTGAATTCTAGTGGTAAAGTATCTTTGCAACCTCACTATGTTGTTAATTTCTCTGGCTCTAAATGGGGGCTGTTTGTGTGCAACAATATTCCACCCTAGAGAGCACTGGTGTCTTGAAAAGTATCATCACTGGTTTGGCATCCCTTGTTTGGAAGGTCCTTGTTATCCAACCTGTCATTTTTCTTGCTGTCATGACAGTTACTTTGTGTGTTATGTAAAGGTAAGGTCTTCCGACATCATTACTCCTAGAACCTTTACATTGTTTTTTCTTTCTATACTGTAGTGTGATTTGATTGTTTTATATGTTTTCCATTTTTAAATTTTCATTTTTTCCATAGCATAGGAGCTGGGACTTATTTTCATTAATCATCATATTATTATCTTTTCAGTGAATAGATAATAATTTGAGTAATAATAATCCCCTTTTCAGCCCTAATTGTAAGTCGGATATTTTCATTGAAAGACCCGATTTACATCCGATTGGAGGTTTTCCGTGTCCTCTATATTGTCTACTCACATGAAAATCATAGTGTCATCTGCAAATGATGATACAGTACTGTCGATTTTTATCCTTGTCTATTTCTGATATTAGGATGAGATAAAGTACTGGAGCGAGTATACCTTTGGGGACTGAGCTTTCCACAGTAGATGATCCGGATTTTACTGTGTTGACTATTTTACACTGCATTCTGTTCATTAGGAAGTTGAAGATCCAGCTCCCTACTTTGCCAGTACAGTAATTCCTTTTGCATGCATTTTGTGCGCAATAACACACTGGTTACATTTGGTTGCCATTATGCAAACAAAATCTAATAAGGTAAGTGGCATCAAAGGTATCAGAGTGTTGATAGGTCATCTTTAAGAGTGCGCAGTTTGTTACCTTTAATGGCAGATCTGCGACTCTGCAAATGATCATGGATTGCTAAATGAATTACATACTGGGTAGAAATCCGAATGAGGAATACCTTTTCGGAAAACGGGACAAGAGTAACACCAATATGGCTGGGAACCAAGTAAAAATTGGCTGTCTTAACTCTGCTAGAGATAAGAAACAGCCAGTATTGTATTTCGACCACTACTGGATGCAAAGGGTTAAAATATTCCAGACCTATGAGGTCACTGCAAGAGTCAACCACAATGACAGAGAAATGTTGTAGTTAAAAAAAGAAAAACCTACAAAGAGCACACAAACTAGCAAAAGTTCCACCATGAGGATGCTAGTCTCTGAAGGCAGGTGGCACATAAAGGTTTCATCAGGAAAAACACAGGAGTAGCCAACACTGTCAACAGACTTAGACCCATCTGTGAACAAAACAATGGAGTGTGAGCGAGAAGAAAATTTTCAAGGGGAAGAAATTTCATGACAGAGAGGTACTGTATAAACCTTCACCATATGGTTCAGGACCATGCAAAATTTCACTAGTGGGACCTTCCATGTGGGCAGGGTAGGAACATGAGGGGAGATAATGCAAATGGTAATCAAGATAGAATTTTAGAAATGAGTCATTTTTACAGGAAAAAGAAGGTAGTGATAGAGAACAGGGGGCCTTCCTGAAGGGCTGTAGTCAAAGCACAGTACAAATGGGATACCAGGGTAGTTAACAAATAGAATGCATTGGTGATGTGGTGAAGGCAGACTCCATACCCAGTTTCAAATGTAGGTATGATAGAGCCCAGTAGGCACAGGAATCTGTACACCAGTTGAGAAGTGGGACCAAAGAGCCGAAGCTCAACCCCCGCAAGCACAACTAGTTGAGTACCAAGACCCATCATTCAATGCTGTTATTCTGGAGGGAGCTCCTTGTGGCTCTATCTTCCCGAGATGCTTCACACTAAAAGTTCACGTAAGCCTTGGCCAGTTCTGTATGCCTTCCAGAAACCAGGGCCAGAATCTGCCTCCCCCCACCCCCTCCCCTTTCCACAGAGGCAGAGAGAGCATGTAACAATCCACCACTTCACCAGAGGAAGCCTCCAGAAAGTCAGCACAGTCTGAAGGGTTCACAGAAAACAAAGCCTCAAAGACCTCCAAAGAACTACTGCAAACAATTCACAAGGAATTGGGGTTCACTCCAATGAGCTAAAAACTCATTAGTATCAATTACCACCATCAGGTGGCCCAGACCTAACTCCCATCTGGCTCCCCACATTGGTTCTGATCCTGATGTTGATGTCCCTACACCAACTTGTAGATCATGCCAGCTCGTAGGTGAGCCCCTTAGCTTTAAGCTAAGTGCTGGCCTTCCTTGGATTTGCAAGTCCTTTGTGGTCATTTGCTTTGTTGTAGTGTTTCCAATTTTATTATGGCTTTATGTGCATGTTTTGCCTCTGGCTTGCTGTATGGGGCTTGCTTGCTTGTTCATTTTAGGCTGGGGTTTTCTTCTCGGTGTGCCCACTAATATTGCCCTTGCACAGTCAGTTCCCTTCTCTGGTGGGTTTTGGGTTCATCTTTGTGAGGCCAGCTCATTGAGGTGGGGCTTTACCTTGGGCAGTTCATTTGTCTCATTTCCTCTGTTGGGCCCTTGGTTAGGGACATTCTATGTTTGTGTTGGGGTACACTGGAGGTTCTGGCACTTGTTTACATGGCTCATCGCAGGTGCCATTTTGCATCACGAGTAGAGGGCTGCTTGTGGTTCCTGTTTTCTTTGGCAAGCAGCCCCAGTGCCCGAGGTACCTGCTTAATTTTCCTTTGGGCCCCTGGGAGTCCCCCTCTGATCTCTGCCATGGTTCTCATGGAGAGGCCCGGTACCCCTGGTGTTACTCTTTGCGAGTTTGAGAAGTGTCTTGCCATGCTGCCTGTGAGTTGGTGATGCTTGTGACCCTGAGTCCTGTGAGCTTTGCTCTTACCGAGTCTCTACCTCGACAGATTTTGCATTGCAGGTGGATGCTTTCCAGGCAGCTGCTGCTTTACAGGGTAGATTTGCCCATGTGAAGCATTCACAGCATATTGATTAGCTAGAAGCCCCAGAGTTGGCCCCCCGTGGCGATTAGGGATCAGGAGCTGGAGGTGTTGGTAATCACCTAAACTCAGTCCGCGCCTCATCCTCTTCTTCCTTTCCCTATGAGTGTGGGTCACTTCACTTCTAGACTTCATCCCCTTCATTTTTGGTTCCACATCCAAAGCATCTGAGAGTTTCAGGGTCAGGTAGGGGTTTAGCTCGGGATGTAGCTCGGCCTTCTCTGGGGGTCGTTCCTTTCATGTTGATGGTGGAGGTAGTCGAGCCTTTCTGTCCTGCTGGGGTTTCGGGGCATTTGCCGTCACAACCACCTCCTTGCCCCAAGCCAAGGAAAAGGAGACAGGAAGGTGTCCTTGGGAAGACACCTTCCTGTCTCAAATGTTAGGTGAGGGGGTAGCCCAAGGAATGCTTAGATGCTTTTCAGCCCTAATTGGTTCTTAGTTGCCTCTGCAGAGGATCTTATGTTACAGAGGAGATAATTTTCTTATTCACTTTCTGTGTACGAGTTGGAGTGTTTGCTCCCCCCCCCTCAGATTCATTATTTCTGGGTCTTGTTAGGTGACTCAGATTTATCTTTTCTCCTGACTGGTTGACAACCCTCTTCTTTTCTTGGGGTTTTGGCAATGGTTCTGTTACTTTATTCCCATGTGCTTGACTGGCAGGAGGTGAGCTCTGTCTTTCATGTGTTCCGAAGGAGGGGGGAGGCACAATTTGCCTCACTTTAGTCCTGCCTGTTTGCTCCAGTGCTTCCCAAGGATGTGGGCAAGTGGCAGCTCCATGTGTAGCTGCCTACACTGTCTGGGGCCCTTACAGCAAATGTCCACCAGATATGTTTACACTGCCTGTGGGCTTGCATGTCTTCATCTTTGTTGAAGGCTTGCTGAGTGTGTCTATGAATATGTTGCTTTGCTGGGATCTGCTCTGGGTGTTGCGGCCTTGTGGCCTGCAGTTCCAGCCTTGGTGGCCTTGCCCAAGATGCTTACCCCTCTACTTGACAAAACTACTCCTGGAGGTAGTGGCAGCATTTTATTCGGAGTGCCTTGCATGTCAGCAGATCATGCTGGCCCATTTAAATTCAGCATGGACTCTTACCCTTGTAGCTGCCTCCCTGTTTTTTGCCCCCTTTCCAGAGAATGTCATGTCTTGGGTTGTTTTGGTAGCTTTTCCTGCTGCCCAATTGATTGGGCGCTGTTTGCTCTTGCTTATGTCCCATTTGGAGACAGTCTGGTTGGGGGAGGGGGACACCTGTTGTTGGTTGAGGTAGATCCTCAGGTGGGTCAGGTTCTGGGTCATTGCTCTACCCGAGTTGGGTTCCTCCTCTGCTCAGTGTCGCAATCACGCATCGTAGAGGTCTGGTTCCACTTGAGGCTCATGCTGACCCTTTTGTAGATTGCCCCTTTGATGCTGTTGTGGGGGAGAGGGTCATCTAGCCCCTTTTGCCAGCTCCTGGTCCCACAGTTTGTGGGGTTTTTGGATTTCACAAGCTTTTCAGTGGAGCTGGTCTCTGATTTTGGAGACCAAACTCCAAAATCAGACCCTCCCCTGATTTTGGAATCTGGTCTGTTGGATCAGGAGTCCTTTCTGGTACTGTGTCTGGTCCTTGTGGATTAGTTGGCTTCTGGTGTGGTTGAATCGGCCTCATCCCTTCAGTGGCTGTCTCAGTTTTTCCCAGTCCCAAACCAGGATTAAGCAGACCTTTGGTATATCTTCAATCTCTTGGGTCCGAATGCCTTCATCCCCTGCCCAAACCTTCTGCATGACCACTTTGGTGTCCTTGGACTTCAAAGACGTGTACTGGCATGTCCCTATTCATCTGGGGTTAAGGGATTGGTTAGGCTTTGTTGTCGAATGTCATGCTTACTCCTTCAGGGTTCTTCCCTTCAGCTTGAACCTGGTCCCCCCGTATGTTTATCATGGTAGCACAGGTCGTTGCGGCTCAGCTGTATTTGTTAGGGATTCATGTATCGGTCTACCTCGATGGCTGGCTGGTGTGGGCCCTCAATCAGTCCGTTTCTCAGCTGGCCAGGGATGTGTTTTTTCCCAACTCGCTGGGTTTGGGCTCCTGGTGAACTGACATTAGTCCCAGTTGGTGCCATAGCAGGTTCAGACTCAGCTATGTCTCCTTTTGGGAATCTCAGTTGGTGTCACTTTCTCTGCCTGCAGCTTTGTCATTGTCTGGTGTTGGATCAGCCCTGGGTGACTCCCCCGTTTGTTGAGTGGTCATGTGGGAGCCTGAACTATGTCTTGACTTTTCCCTGGGCAAGGTTTGACTCTGGGTGTTGTTACAGTTCCTGTGGTTCAGCCCTTTTCCGCTGAACCATAGAAACTCACTGAACCTGTTGTGACCAGTGGGTTAGACCCATTCCACCCTTCATTGGCCCTTGTTTTGCTGGCTTTCCCTTCAAAGTGTTGGGGGTTCGGTTCCATGGGACCATTCTTCCCTGTCCCGTGATGTGTTTATAAACGCTTCAGCTCTTGGGTGGGACTTTGTGACTAGTGCTCACCAGGCCGCCCAGGGTCGGTGGTCGGGTCTGTTCTGTCGGGCACACAGCACGATGTGCAAATTAGCAGCTGTGGCGCATGCCTTGAGGAGGATTCAGCTTCCTCTGGACTTAGTACCGATCTCTGGCTCCACTCCGAATTCTCCCCTGTGGTTTAATGCTTGAACAAAGTGGAGGGGGGGGGGGCGAGCTTGATTGCTCATTTTACTTGTGGAGTTCTGTCTACTCGTTTAGCTATTCTTTGTTGGTTTTAACCAGAATAGGGGTTTGTTTTGAGGCGCTTACACTTCTGGGTGCCTGTCCGAGTCATTGGCAGATATAAAATGCTCCAAATCACATGTGCATTTCTATAGACTATTGCTCCTCGTGCCTCTCTGAGGGGGGCCAGGTTCTAGCCGTGGTCCCCGGTAGGCCTAGAACTCCATCCACACAGACTGATGCCAAAGATTAGGGATATACATAACCTGGATAGCTCCGGGGAGTCTTCAGGACTCGCCCAGAAAATAGCATTTCATTACATTCAACGCTGGTTTTTTTTAAGCCTGCTAACATTAATCTTTTCAGAGACATCTTCTCTGCTCTAGCTGACCCATCTGTTTTCCGAGACTTGATGACTATCTTAGAGGAACGAATCAGAGCCATCTGTCCTGATGTGGAAATAATCGTGGGACTAGAATCAAGGGGTTTTTTATTTGGCACCCCTCTGTCACTATCACTTGGAGTTCCATTTGTACCAGTGAGAAAGAAGGGGAAATTACCAGGCGAGCTGAAGAAGGTGTCATATGCATTGGAGTATGGAACAGTTAGTATCGAAATTGATTTGGTATTAATTTTATTTTTATAAATACCAGTACTGTACTGTACTGTCTGTGCTCGGTAATCTAAATCATCTGGAGTTCACCCTCATTCCAATTAGCCAAACATTTGACTTAGCCAACATTCTTACATTGTCCAAAAATGAACAAAATCAAATTGATTCAAGTTTTTCATTTGGCAGAAATTGCAGTAACCCAAATTTGAGTTAGTATTAAAAATTCAGGCACTCAAACTTCAATTAATTTAGTTTTTTCTAATGTATAATATTTTAACTCAAATTCCTATTCAGTTAAAACAAAACAAAAAAACTTGAACATGAATTCTTCAGAATTACTGTACAGTATTTAATTCAATTATTTACAGCAGAATATCTTCTGATAGAAGATCTCTCACTTGTCCTATTGAATGGTGTTTAATTGGTGAGTAGCTACATTTTGATTACAATTTTATACAAAAGTATTATTTTCTACAGGATGTGTTTGAAGCCCAGGCAAAAAGTGTAAAATCAGGACAAAAAGTAGTCATTGTGGATGATTTGTTAGCTACTGGAGGTAAGTCAAGTTATGACTGGTAATCAGAACGTTTAGAATGTGTTCCCTATAAGGACCACTTTTGATAGCGTTCCTGCAACCCTACCCAAAATTTAGTACAGTATTGTACAGTATACAGTTGTATGCCAGTAAATTTTAGGGTTCTTAGACCTTTGACACACACAGCCCAGCCTCGGGGAGTAGAGCTCTCAGAACCCTCCAGGTATGCTCCAGGTATACACAGCAGGCAGGAACCTAAGAATTTACTTAATTTTGTGGAATTATCTTTACATTTTAATTTATTTATTTGGTAAGTACTTGATCATAGCATTAGAAGACCCAGATGTGTGTATGTGTTGTCAAGATCAAAAGATGAAGAGAAACATATCTTTCTTCAGAACGGGTTTTAGAATAATGCACCTCAGCATAAGTACAGTATTCTTAACTTTGCTTTCTCATAGGTTATAACATCACCACCAACTGACACATTTTAGTTGTTTCTTTGACACCTAGTACTGCCTAATTAATTCATTTTGTTATATTACCGCTTAATTAATTAATTAATATTAGATTGAATTTACTCACATTTTGCTGTTGCTTCAATTTTTAATTTCCAATGTATAGGTAAAATTATTATCAACAATATTGTTGATAATAATAATAATAATAATAATAACAACTAAGGAATATCTATTCCTTAGTATCTCTAAAAATTATAAATATATATAAATTACTTTATTGCTCTATAAATTACCACCTATCCAGTGATAAAGAAACAATTTGAATTTCAGGTACCATGAAGGCTGCTTGTGATTTAGTTACATCCATGGGTGGAGATGTATCACTCTGTCTTGTCTGCATCGAGCTTGTCAACTTGAAAGGTCGGGAGAAGATAGACAAACCTTGCGAGGCTGTAGTCAAATTTGAAGTCTAAGACTTAAAAAAAAAAAGTGATAAATTCTCTTTTCAATTAGATAAATAATAGATATGGGAAAAATGTTGTATATTCCTATTGTGTCTTCTGAATACTGTAGTTAGTGTAAGGGTGCCATTCCCATATTGCACATTCTAAAAATTAAATTGAAAATATTGATAAAGATTTTTTTTTAAGCCTGCCTAGTTCTGACCTTATACAAATACAGGTTCATTTTTGTAAGGGGAATGATGCACTTACACTAAAGTAGTATATACTTTTTTTTATTATCTCTGAATATTCTAGTTTGTGAATAGTAATGCCCAGTAGAGTAGTGCTAGCTTTTGAATTATTTTGTAACATGAATATAAACATACCCATTCCCTAGTGATAATTTTATGTAGGGTAAAATTGTCAGCATGCAGGTGGTTGTTCGTGCCTAAACAAACAACGTTGAATGTATTGAAATGCCTCTTTCTGGTAGGTCCTTTGTGCTTGCTATCAGGCAGGCTGAACCCAATTCAATCCATAACAGGCTCTTAGAGTCATAAATAAGCCTACCTTGTGTAGCTTCCAGGAATCGACAGCCCTGGGCCAACCAGGCCTCCCTTTTCTGCTGAACCACAGAAGCCCACTGAACCTGTTGGGACCAGTGGGTTTGGACCCCATCTGCCCTTCATTAGCTCTTGTTTTGATGGCTTTCCCTTCAGATGAATGGGGAAGCCATCATCTGAAGGGGGAAGAATGGCACCATTCTTCCCCCTGTTCCTTGATGTGTTTACAAACTCTTCAGCTCTGGGGTGGGGCTTTGTGACCAGCTCTCACCAGGCCACCCAGGGTCGGTGGTGGTAGGCTTATTTATATTCCCAGATCCGAGTCTCCAACAAGGCCTCCATTGCTCTCTCCCAGCCTACCAGAGACCGGAAGCCAAAAACCTCTTATAGTGGGGCAAGTCATCTATTTTAATTCAATCAACTTTTTTGTGGCCTTTTTGTGGTTAGGGATATTTTTAATTCCCTGTGCCTTTATAGAAGGAGTGAAGTTTTGTCATCTGGGCCCTGGTAGGCTTATTTATGACTAAGGGCCTGTTATGGATTGAATTGGTGTAGCTTGCCTGATAGCAAGCACCAAGGAACTACCAAGGACCTACCAGAAAGAGGTATTTCAATACATTCAACATTGGTTTGCTTAGGCACCAACAACTACCTGCATGTTGACAGTTTCACCCTATGTATATTTGTGGTGCACAAATTACTTGTGCAGTATCTGTGCATACTGATGTTCTACAAGTTCTGTGATATACAAACATTGACAAGCCCAGTGCATCATTGCACATGAAAAAACCACAGTAATAATATTAAAAATACTGCAGAAATAAAATATATTAAATGCGTGTACTGTACTTACAATTTGGTGCAAAATGCATGGGGCTAGGCTGAGCTTGGATCAATGATTACAAGATTATCACGCTCACCAGAACTACTAATGGTTTGTAAAAGTGCATTAATATATACTGTAGCTGTAAATAACATGTATGCAGTGATAATAGTACACTTTACTGTTCACAAAATTTAATATTGTGTGCATATTAGTGATACTAATATATTTGTGTATCAGTGTTCAGCATGTTTCATTATATAAATTCATAAAATTACACAATATTAAATTATTGCAAAAACCTTAATTGGGGGGGACCTTCAACAAGCTGCCAGCTTCCTGTCCTCGTTGAAGCCACTAGTGTTAGTGGCTCTCAGGTAAGCACAGGACTTGGGTAAACCAATGACAAACATTGGCAACACTGAAATAAGTCAGTATACGAATATTAGCAAGAAGACCCACCGCTCGCCTGGCCCAGGTGACCTCTGGGCATCTCGTCCATCAGTGCTTGGTGAATCAGCGATATAGTGAGAGTTCCTCTCCACCACAACCAAAGTAAGGTACATAAAAATTAAATTTTTCTGTGATCAGGGAATTCATTTAACAATATTAGATTCCCCCCCCCCCCTCCTCACTCTGTGGAATTGTCATAAATGGGTGCACAGTGCAAGGGGTTAAGACAGTCAAATTTTGCTGGATTCCCAGTCATATTAAAGTTATTACAATAGAACTTGTGCATACCACTACTAAGGAGGTAGTAATGGTATCCATGCTTGCATCATTAACTGAAAGGGGGATTCTTTACTAGGATTTCTACCCAGTCATTCTGCAATCTGTGACCATTAACAAGATCATTGGATTGGCATTTTGGGTAACTGCCTGCTCCTAAAAGTGACCCTTTACCCCCTTGCCCTCTTTTTACCACTTTAATAGATGGAAATGGCTCTGGCTAGGTTGTGTATTGGTCATGGTCACTAATGGAGCAACGTCTTGTTCCTTTTTTGTCCGAACTGCATTGTTCCACTTACAATCGTGACCTTGTGAAATGTCCCAGTTTTCAGGAAGACTTAATTTTGCATTCCTAATGTCCCTCCAGGACACTTGTCCATTGATAGAATCCTAGCAGACTGATACCTTTGATGTTGTTTGCCTGGTGTTCATATCTATGTATGAATAAAGAGTATGGACACCTTATTCTTCGTTTCTTTTTTTAATAATTACTGTACTTACTTTCCCAAGTGTGTCTTTAGGTGGTGCTTGGTTTATAATGTATAGTAGCCCTGTACAAGTGGTCAGCAAGTGGAATGCATTGAAGGAAAAAGTTCTTGAAGCCACTTCAGTCTGCAACTAAGAAAAAATATGAAGAAAACTTTTAATTGTCAATTGGAGTACAGTAATTACTTGACTCCTCCATAAGCACCAAGGAACTAAGGGTGCCACTGGGTTTTGGTCAACAGAAAGACATTTGATGTATACTTGTTGGAGATATACTTTTGGTGATTAGACAATTACAAAAACTTTACTGATAGTTGTAAAGTGTTTTGCAACATTCTTTTTTTATACATTACTGTAGTTGGCAGTTCACTTTGGTACTGAGTTAATCTCATCCAGTCCCATAGAAAGGGAAAAGGTGGTTTTCAAAAGCTCTGGGCAGTGCTTTACAATAATATAACAATAAATTTTTGCCAACAAATTTGGCCAAAAATGCTGTTTCTAATTAAGAGTACAGGACTGTAGACTACAACTAATGTGAACTCTATTTACAAAATATATACCCTGGATAAACATAAGAATATCATTATAAATGTTACACCATATAACTGCTGGTTTTTGAGGCATCAGGTGAAGTGTAACATAATACAATACCTGTTATTTTTAACGAGCTTGTTACTATACTTGGCTGGTTCCTTCCTGGCCGAGGTTAAGCAAGTACTGTATAAATAATTACTGTACCTGAATTTACCCAAGGACCATCATCTATATAGTCACCTTGACGGGGACAAGAAGATGGTGGCCTGTCAAAAGTTCCCTATTTTTCCCCAAGTTTTTTTTCCAGCTGGATTTTGAATTGCAGTAATGTCTTGGCATTTATGACTTCGGCGGGTAGGTAATTCCAAGGGTTTATAATCCTATCGGTGAAAAAGCATCTGTTTTCTCTTCTACATCATGGCTGTGTGTTTAACTTCTCCAAAGAAATGTAGTCTTCTGAATATTATCTCTATGCATGGATACAGTAGTCCAAATGGGAGCACAACAAAGATTTGTAGTTTAATAACCACTTTTCCTTGAAGTCAAAGATCATTTGGCTATTTTTAGGGTTTGGTTGACTTTTTACTGCAGGTCTCATTTGTTGTTCAATTTATCCATTCTAGTGCTTTATCATTTTGTCCACGTGTTTGTAATTTCCTTGTTAGCCTTTCATGTGGTACCTTATCAAAATCCTTAGCAAAATTTATGTATATTATGTTTACTAAGAGTCCTTTATCTGAATACCTGGTTATCATCTCCAAAATGTGAGGTGTGTAAGGCAGGATTCATTATTAACAAAACCATGTTGTATTGTTTTTACTACATTGTGCACTGTAGGGTGTTGAATGATTCCCACCCTTAGGACTCTATCCACAGGTTTGCAAATATGAGAGGTATGAAAAGACAGATGGTATCATATTTATCATCACATTCACAGTTATTTGGTGTGAATGCTAAAAACTTGTTACAAATAAAAATGTAAGTGAATTTTGGGAATATCAAAATACACTATGGTGAAATATTTAAATGAGGTTAAGAACACCAGACAGTGAATAATAAAAAAAATAATTATTGTATCTGTAATATATGATAAACATATACTGTAGTTATATGCACTAGGGTACATTTCATCTTGTACATATTTACATAATTAAAGTATACAAACAAAATTTGCACATATTTACATAATTATAGCTTCAGTATACAAATAAAGTCAACACCTAATGAAAGAAAATAACTATGAATTTCATTTCTTTTTGAAATGTCAAATTTCCTAAAGTATTACTATTTATACAAAAATATTTCTTTTAAATGAAAGAATACTTCCTTATAAATTTATTTTTATAATACTATATTTCTAGTCAATGAGGTGGCTAGAAGATAGTGAATGAAGTGGCCATGAGTTAAAATACATTTCCTTGCTTCATAGACCAATTTCAGCCCATCCTCCTGTTTAGATAGTAGTACTGTATTTACAATAACAATATGAACCATCGTACATATATTGACGTAATTAACACTTAGAAAGAATTGTGTACTATCTAATTTGGACACTCCCAAAAGAGGTTTTGTATTTGTTGCTAAAAAACCTAACAGTCCTAGGCCTAATACAGTATAAATATAGTACATTTGTGTTACACTAGGCCTATGAATATTTAATTTAGTTTTTTAGTTTTATTTTTTCCAAGAGATAATATCAATAGTACCAAATATTATCCAATTGTCCATATGTCAATGTACAGCCTGTATGTACGATGGTCCACAGTTACAAAAAGTTCTATCAAAACATGAGGATGGGTTATCTATCAATTTATACATATGCATCAGTCTTGGCAGAGTTGGAATTTGCTTGAAGACCCTGCAACCCCCTTAACCAATCCAACATGTTACAATATAGTGTTCAGCACTTACAGTTATGATGGTGTGCAGCTGGATACTATATCTTGGTTCCAAGTATTTTCCCCAAATCAAGTATGCAGGGACCAATACACTGATGTCATAGTGGTATAAATAAGAGGTGGTCTGAAGATGGGGAAAGTAGCATGCCATGGCTTTGTTATCGATTATACAAGTACGGATTCTGTAGCTATATAGGAGTAAGTATATTTACAGTACTGTACACGAATGATTGTTACATTAGTAAAATACATACAATTTTATGCCAAAATGTTGTGCATAATAGCTATTTAAATTATACAATACAGTATCTACTTAGTTACCCTGTAATCTGATCCTATGTATATCAATAATGGCTGAAATTACAAGTAATACTCTAAAAGTATTTGTCTTAAACTTTAAATATTGTACTAATCAAGAACAAGAATGACAAGGCAAACTAGCCTATTAAATTTGAGAAAACAAATTTTACAATTCAACAAAGTTCATTATGTTTGACACAGTTTAATGTGTGTAGTAATTAAAGGCTTCTAGCTCTGGATTCCTAGGTAGGTAATATACAAGAATAACAAAAAGTAACCATCATAAAACATTTTAGATTATTTTACGTCATTATATACATTAGCAAGTAGGGCGAGTTAGTCAAGAGGCTTAGTGGCAAGCATTGAAAATACTGTACCAGCATCTATTGGCAACTAATGACCTTGCATAATTCATGCATTTGTGATATATAGCACACTTACTCGACACTATGATGATAGGAACCCCACACTGTATCCACCATGATTGAAACATAAGCTATATCATAATTGGAACAATACACTATATACCATGATGTTTGGAAATGCACACTAAATGCTTTGCTAATATTTTTGTAACCATTATATTTGATGAATTTGTTTTAACTAGCAGACAGGTAAACCATATTGAGTTACAGTACAGCTGGCCCCCCTCCAAAGGAGGGATTCATTTGGAAAAAACTTGTTCAGTTATATCATTGAAATGTAACCCCCTGTTTTACCTATTTAAAGACTTGCAAAAAATATATTTTCCACTTTCTCTTTGAAGCACCTACCGAATATTATTATTAAATACTCCTGCCACTTTCTAACCACAAATATGTAGTAGTGATACAAAATTCAGTGTAGAATGCTTGAGAGTTGCCACGATGCAAGAATGTAATACAAGAGTAAAAGTAACCGAAGTATCATAAGGTCAGATCATGGTATGTATTTGGAGGTTTTACAAATCTTGCATATGGTTAATCTCATCCTCGTGAAGATTGAATTTTGGTGTTTAATACAAGTTTATACAGGTTACAATTAATGTTAACAGTGAATTTATACTGAGCAAGAGCTTACTTAGTACTGTATTTAAAAGTTGCACTTTATAAAATACCAAGTCATAGAAAGTAAATCAATTGGTTATAATTATTGCCATGAAAAGATAAAATATACTGTATGTACAAAGCTTTTAAATGGACTAAAGTTGTTAAAGTCATAGATCTGTATAACATTCAACCCTCTGTAATTGCTTTTAAAATTTAACATTTTCATTCTGAATCCATCTTACAAATATTGCTATATCACACTTGCTTCTGAATTGTCAGCTCCAGCAGATGATGACCATCATCGTTTCGGTCTAGGACGGACTGAAATGTCGTTGTCTCTTCAATTTCTAGTGTGTGGTTTGGTCAACGTCAGCTCCAGCAACCAAGGTAGGCAACCTACCAAAATTATCTTGCCTATTGTAACACCTTCACTCTTTGTACATTAATGTCCAAATCAAATTGGTAAAGACAAATTTTATTTATATTTTAACCTAATTCAACTGTTAACAAAAACTGTTTTTCGGTATTGCTATTGCGTCTTCACTGCCAGAATGTGCAGAGCTGAGCAGTAACTGAAGTGTCTACAGTCATTGATTTGTCTCCCTGCAGGAAATAATGTGGTGCATACCACTTATAAAGACTGGACAAAAGGTTAATCCAAAACTGTATCTTTACCTCAACCTTAAGTTTAAACAATTAATGTGTTTTAACTATTGTACTTTACCTTTATATTAATGGCAACAGTAATGAAAATATGTTTACTGTGCAGAAATAATCAGTGTGTGGAAGCAAGTATATTTAAAAAAAAATGCATCAGTACAGGAAATGTTAAGAGAGTTTTTCATGTTCGGTAACTTATTGTTCAAGTTAATTGAACTGAACAGCTGTTAAAGACCAGCCTTCATAGGCTTACCATGATCTTATACAGTGATCTGAATGATTGGAACTGTGGCAATTTAAAGAAAAAAAAATTCTACTGATATATGGCACAGTCTCCACTGTATAAATCCTAAAGATAAAAAACCTTGAGCAAATGGGTGCTAAACAAACAGATGAACTTAAAAATGGTGTCAAAATGAGAATTCTTTTTCCACAGGTTTTCATTATAAAAATTATTACTGTAGTATTCCAAAATTATTATGTATCCAGCTTTAAATAATTTTAAAGGGCAACACAACTAGGCAACCAAGATGATGTTCAACTAGTTAAACGAGGAGATGGGATGTATAAATCCTCCAGGTCACCATATAAGTTCATGGTGGTCTACGGCTCACAGAGAATATGCTCCTTTCTCATCATGAAGACGTCGCTTATCAGACGCTCGCTTATACCCAGCCTTATCTTTAAGTTTATGAATGATGTGAATGCAGAGAACAATGCACATTAGCTGGAGTCCACCCAAAGCAGCAAGAATGGAACACCAGATGGCTTTGTTATCATCGAGCCAAAATTTTAGCGGTGCACCACATCCACTCTGGAAAAGATCATATAGAATTTGTTACATTAAGAAATAGTAAACCAATAATGTTTCATATTATTGAAGACAAATAATGAATACAGTAGAACCTCGAATGACGACCATTTTGGGTAACGAACGCCCCAATCGCCAACAATTCATCTCGTTAGGCGACCGCTCGTTTGAATAACGTCAGCACCACATGGTGGGGTCTGGGGCTGCTTCTCGCACATTCTCGGGAACCTCCGACAATGCAAATAAATGATTTTTCTTTGTTTATAGATGCTATTGATATTGGGATGTTGCAAAGCATCAACTTTTTGTAGAAAATGAAATGAACTTTTTTAAAGAAAGAACAAATGTCAAAAAGGTTCGTTCGGTGTATGTCAGGTAGACTGCTCCACGTTTCTTAAATAAAAAAAATTAAATCTTAATCGTTTCTTAAATAAATTCAAATTAAAAAAAAAGTTGAAACAATTTGAAAAACGGACAAGTGCCATAAAGGGTCGTTCATTGTGTCGGGTAGGCTGCTCTATTATTGAGAAATAAATGAAAAATACAAAACAAATGGAACACATTTGAAACACTGAAAAGATTGTCATAATGGAGCAGCCTACCCAACACACACTGAATGAACCTTTATAGTATTTGTCCATTTTTCAAATTGTTTCAACTTTTTTTTTTTCATTTTTTTTATTTAAGAAACATGGAGCAGCCTACCTGACAAACACCGAACGAACCTTTTGCTATACAAAAAAAAAATAAAAAAAAATAATTGAATTGAGCCCAGTTGTTTATGCATAAACAACAGGGCTCCATCAAGGAACATATAATCTCTTCTCACAACCAGACTATCACCAGAGAAATCTTAATAAACAACACAGAATTCATCGATAGGTACAGCGATATTAGGCGGCTCGACATCAGCAAGGCACTACACATCAAAAAGTCAACACCAGCAATCAACAGCCACTTAATGCACAACTATATTCTACCCACTTATAATAATAATAATAATAATTTTTATTTAGGTAAGGTACATACATAAAGAGATTTTACAAAGTTTGTTGGCTTTATACATAGAGCTAGTACATACAATGCCTAAAGCCACTATTACGCAAAGCGTTTCGGGCAGTTCACTTCAAGACCCCAAACCGATATGGAAGCCGCAAGAAGAAGAAGTATAGGCCAATAGGCCTTATGCAGTTACTTTCATTCTTATGTTCTCATATCAAAGTTATACCTATTGATTCGTGTTCTGTCTTGTGTTTGTCACAAGTTTGTTCACCTTGCCAAAACTTTTGTACCATATCACCTCACCCAATAGAGTATAAGTAAATGAATTTGTGTGTAAATTAAGTCTTTGAAAATGTAATAAGCCATTACGAAAAGCGTTCAGGCGTCGGACCATAAATAAAAAGGAATTTTGGAGAATTGGTATTTCCATTATCACCGATAGTGAAAAAAAACATAAGAAATATTGAGAAAATTCGTGTTAGAATTATTAATCTTACCTTTTCGGTCATATTCAACAATTTATATTTATATTATATTATACACACACGAAATATGAGAGGAAATGCTGCCCTGTCAATGGTAGAGTGGGGGAGGTTATGCTATTGATGGCTATATATTGGTGTCTGTCACCGAGATAGGAAGGAATATAGTCCAGAGCAAGGGCTCGAATACCATAGTGGTGAAGTTTAAGCAAAAGGTAGTTATGGTTTACAGTATCAACGGCCTTTCTCAGTTATAGAAATAGATTATAATCATGTTCTGTCCGTATAATATTTGTAAAATGTGTAGTGTCTCTATTATAATACTGTAGTGATAAATGGTGTACTCAAGGCAAGCACAAACACTTGTGCAAGTGACTGGTATACCCAGAACTAATTAAATTAAGTTAAAAGATTCGTCAAAACAGTTTTTTCTAAATGCATGATGCCGATTTATTATACAAGAAGTTAAAACACCTAACAAATTACTATGAATCAAAATTACTACACGAGTGATTAGTCACCTGCTTGAGTTGTTGAGCATTTGTGAAGGTTTCCTTATTGACCTCCTGAATGGTGTTGTAACAAGAGTTGCTTATTGGGTAGTTGGTGTAGGCGAACTCCTTCGGTCCGTAAAATCCACAACAGTTGAACTGAAACACCAAAATGTTAAATGCTATCATGTTGTTTTCTCATAATTTTAAGTTAAAATTCGTCAACTAAAATAATGCACGTCTAGAGAGAATATTTACACAAATGTTTTTTAACACTGCATTTAAACTATCAACACTATATTGATGTATTTGTTGGGTGAAATATTAAAACGATATTCCATACTCACATTATTCTGGACAATATTGCGAGTTCCCTGGTTAACCTCGGCCCACCCATTGATCAGGATGTCGTCCAGCTGTAATAAAGCTTAGCAATTCTAATACGTTCATTAAATTAAGCATCGGTTCAAAAACGTATATGTAAGAAATCGTGCATTTAAGTATTACATATACTAACAATTACCAACAGTAAATGCAACAACTGGCAATCTTTAGGTTTCATCGTCACTGTTGTGTTTGGAAGAACTGCTCTTATTTGCCACAACCTATTTTCACTGGAACACTTGCCACTGAATCTGTCCTTTTTCATTCCTGTGGCCATCATTTAAGATATTTATTGTTATCTGAACTACAGTCTGCTGTCATTATATGAAAGCCCAAGTCTAAACTTCATGAAATACTCCATCATTTCCCCTCAATCTATACTGTTTTATGTTAGCCATTTGTAAGCATGTGTTAGAGAGATTAGAAATCTCCCATAGTACATACATACATTTGTACTTCAGATTAGGAGACTCAAGACATCTTGTGGCAGGGGGGGGAGGGGTATTTTCTCCCACTGTGCTGACAGTGGGGAGGGGGGAAGGTCTCGCCCTCGGGACCCCGCCTCCCCCTCCCATCCTCACATCGTGCACACACAGTTGCACTTTAATTTAATCCATAATTGAGCTTTAGTCTGTAATGTATAGTTCATTATGGTCAGTTACTCCTATTTACTACTAGTCATTGTCACTTATGCTTTACTTACTCACTTTCTAAGTTACGTTCAGTTACTACTGTTAATTTGGTTATTATAATTCATTTAAGTCAAACTTATTTACTTGATAAATTTACTCAAGTACTGTTATCACAGATTGCACAGATGGTGACAGCTGGTGGCTGTAGACAAGTCTGTTTGGTGAATTGACAGGAACCAAAGCTGATAAGAGATGCTGCTGCTGGCTATTTGTTGTGTTCCGATGATGATAATGATAATAATTTAGCTACTCAGAGCGAAATGTCCATGTAGCACGGACTATACTGTGGGGCCTCAACTTACAATCCATCTCTGGGAACAAATTATAATCGTAAGCCGAAATATCATAAGTCAAAATAAATTTTCCCACAAGAAATAATGGAATTGAATTAATCCGTTCCACACCCCCAATAATATTAACTTAAAAATACATTTTACACCGAATTCCACTCTTTGTACTAGCTACAATACAGTACACATGTTTATCTTAGCTTTATTGAGGACTCATGTTGGAGTATGGAAGATGGTGAGGAGGAGAGGTGTTTCTGTCTGGGAGTCCCCTTCCATTATAACATCAGCCAGTGATGACTTCTTTGAGGTACACTCTCCTACGTTTTGCCTGCATACCACTAAGACCTGGTTGTGATTCACTGCTTGTTTGTCTCACTAAAAACCTTTCCATGATTTTTATTTTTCTATACTTGTTAATTTTTGTTTGTGGTGAGGCATCACAGTGTCATTAAAAAGGTTAAGGCAACAGCCTACTGCACCCTGATTTGGGAAAGTCGTTTCAGCAAAAGTTTGCAGTTCTTCCCATGCTGCTCACATTTTCTTAATTAATGAGGCAGGGACATTCTGTAGTGCCCCCTCCTCCCCTGAAGAAATTTCCTCAGCTGTCTCTTGTTGCTGCTCCTGGTGACGTTCTTCGGTGGTCAGTTCTTCGCTGTGTTCTTCCACCAGCTCGCAACACACAACACACACAGCACTATGAATGCCACTTCTTTTTCTAAATTTCTCACACCATCTATTCCCTGTTTGCCTAAAACACTTTCGCATCTGCATCACTCGTTCCAGGGGTGTTCTATTTAAGATCTTCATGCAATTTCCTTGTTTTTTTACAAATAATGGCCTCTGAAATGCTATCACCTGCTAACTCCTTGCTGTGTATCCAAATTAATAATAATTGTTCAACATCCTCAAGTGTTTCTGTTCTATGTTTCGTGATTATTGTTATGCCTTTTGCCACTTTAGCACTCATAATGTCCTTTTTCTTAGCAAGTATGGTGGATATCGTTGACTGAGATTTGTTATACTTGCTAGGTAGTTCAACAACCCGCACACCATCTTCATGTTTACGAATGATCTTTTTTTTTCTCTATGGTCATCCTTTTGCTAGGCCGACCGGGAGCCGGTCGGCCGAGCAGACAGCACGCTGGCCTTGTGATCCTGTGGTCCTGGGTTCGATCCCAGGCGCCGGCGAGAAAAATGGGCAGAATTTCTTTCACCCTATGCCCCTGTTACCTAGCAGTAAAATAGGTACCTGGGTGTTAGTCAGCTGTCACGGGCTGCTTCCCGGGGGTGGAGGCCTGGTCGAGGACCGGGCCGCGGGGACACTAAAAAGCCCCGAAATCATCCCAATTTTTTTTTTTTTTTTTTTTTTTTTTTTTTTTTTTTGAGATATATACAAGAGTTGTTACATTCTTGTACAGCCACTAGTACGCGTAGCGTTTCGGGCAGGTCCCTGGAATACGATCCCCTGCCGCGAAGAATTGTTTTTTCATCCAAGTACACATTTTACTGTTGCGTTAAACAGAGGCTACAGTTAAGGAATTGCGCCCAGTAAGTCCTCCCCGGCCAGGATACGAACCCATGACATAGCGCTTGCGGAACGCCAGGCGAGTGTCTTACCACTACACCACGGAGACTGCTAGATAACAAGATCCTCACATGTGTTTTCATGTGTTGAACTTTACCACAGACTTTCTTGGGACCCATGGCATGTTACATAATAATTACTTCTATGTTCAAAAAACAAAAAACTACCAAAATAATGGAATTTCTTACAAGTGTGATCATCATTAAGCAGTCAGCTCTGGTAAACTGAGGCAGATCGGCCCATGCCATCAGGCATGGCATGGGCCGATCTGCTGAATCACAGCTGGTGTGGGATTTACCTAAGGGCCACTAACACTAGAGGCTTCGACAAGAACAGGAAGCCGGCAGCTTGATAAAGGTCCCCCCCCCATTAGCCTTTATGATCTTTTCCAGCTGTATTTCAAAACTGAATAGAGTTTTGGCATTTACGGCTTCAGATGCTAGGCGGTTGCATGGGTTTATAACCCCTGTGGGTGAAACAGCATCCCCTGTTCTCAGTGCTACATTGGGGATTTTCTCGTGTTTTCCCAGGGGCAATTAATGTATGTGTGAACTTTCTCCTAGGAAACTAAAATTTTAACCCCTGAACTATATGCAAATTTTAATGCACCCAAGAAGTTGGATTTACTCAAACATTTATTTTTGTGCAGAATCGACAAATTTCCTACTGGTTATTGAAACTTTTCACCCTTTCGATACTTTGGTCACAGAAAACCAATATTGGCTGAATCTTATATTTAGTATGAACAAATAGCATTTTTTTTTTGGGGGGGGGGGGGGGTTATCTTGTAATATTTGTAATATTGGTATAAACTATGAACTGGTCATTCAGGCATACTCTGTGTTAACGAGGCCTCTTCAGATACCGCTCACGACCACTCCAGTCTACCCACCATTACTACTCACCCTGAGCTGTAGGAGGTTGAGAGCGACGATTCCACCAATTTCTGCCGATACTGCCAAGATGAGCAATGCCAAGTACTGAAACAAACGCTGCATTAATTGTGTCAACATCAGCGTGTCTATTTCAGGGTAATCATTGCCAAAGTAAGTATAATTACAATTAAAGCGTGCCTTAGACAAATGTCCCTCTAGCATTCTAGAAACGCAAAATTGCAGTACCAAACTGTACAGACCATCCGCCAATATAATGTATGTGCGTGTACTTACTTAATTGTGGATGCAGGACAGTGTCAGCTCTGGGCCCTGCCTTTTCAGCTGTTGGAGTAATGCAATATGGTACCCATCCCTCAAGATTTATCAAAACTAATTTAAACCTATATATAGTATAAACCTCAATTACTGAGTACCTAAAGTAATTCGTTTGATTTATTCATTACTTAGTCTTACAGTTGCTCAATGTTTTTGTGTCTAGCTTCCATCCATGATTTCTCTCCTTTTGTCTATCATTTCATCGTCAAACATTTCACCTTTATCTACATCGTTAATGCCCCTAGGATCTTAAATGTCACAATTATGCCCCCTCTTACCCAGCACATATCTAAGTAGTAAGATCCAGGGATCTGTTCTTTACACACACACACACACACACACACACACACACACACACACGTGGCATAGGAAAACATAGACCCCCACACAACCCATATATTATGTGAGAAATCTTTAAAGAATTCTGATAAAGAAAGAGTTCTAGGGGTGATTCTAGATTGAAAACTATCACCTGAGGACCACAAAGAATATTGTGCGAGGAGCCTATGCCACGCTTTTCATCTTCAGAATTGCTTTTAAATACATAGATGGCGATATACTAAAGAAATTGTTCACGACTTTTGTTAGGCCAAAGCTAGAATATGCAGCAGTTGTGTGGTGCCCTTATCTTAAGAAGCACATCAACAAACTGGAAAAGGTGCAAAGACATGCTACTAAGTGGCTCCCAGAACTGAAGGGCAAGAGCTACGAGGAGAGGTTAGAGGCATTAAATATGCCAAAACTAGAAGACAGAAGAAAAAGAGGTGATATGATCACTACATACAAAATAGTAACAGGAATTAATAAAATCGATAGGGAAGATTTCCCGAGACCTGGAACTTTAAGAACAAGAGGTCATAGATTTAAACTAGCTAAACGCAGATGCCGAAGAAATATAAGGAAATTCACTTTCGCAAACAGAGTGGTAGACGGTTGGAAAAAGTTAGGTGAGAAGGTGGTGGAGGCTAAGACCGTCATTCAAAGCGTTATATGACAAAGAGTGCTGGGAAGACGGGACACCACGAGCCTAGCTCTCATCCTGTAACTACACTTAGGTAATCACACACACGCGCACAGTGTGTGTGTGTGTGTGTATATAGAGCCCAATAGGCTCAGGAACCTGTACACCTGTTTATTGACGGTTGAGAGGTGGGACCAGATAAAAGATAAAACAGATAAAAGATATAAACCGAAAACCGACGACCGAAAACCTAGATCAGGCTCTCTGCACCCAGCACTGCCGGGTGGGTAAACATTGGGCAGCAACGATTAGAGCCATGATTTACCGCATAAAGGTCCGGTTTCGTGACGAAACCACCTACACCGGGCCCCAATTACTAAGGAAAATCGTCGACATCACGAATGCAGCCCCGTTGGACATCCGTGACGATGCTGACGGCGCTGTACTTCTTTATTCAAGCGAGCAAGCTCTGGAGCAACTGTTTGCACCAGAACACCAGGACGCCCTACGAAACTCCAACCTGATCATCACTCCTAACCGTCGCTACTTGGCTGAACGAACCATCTTCGATGTAGACACGAGTGTCTACATCGCCACCCAGGACCCTGGCACCATACTTGATAGTATCAACACCAGAAACCCGGCTCTGACTGCTGCTACAGTCAAGGTCATCAAGAACGACGACAACCCTAGGCCTACTCTCAAGGTCACCTTCACAACAGCTGCTGCAGCGACCCAAGCTGTGGAAAATGGATTTAGATGTCTAGATATTTCCATCACACCGGACACTGTAAAGAAGGAACGTTACTACAACATTCGCCAGTGCTTTAAGTGTTACAAGTACGATCATGATACCAAGAACTGCCAACAAGCAGAGGTTAAATGCAGCATTTGTACCCAGGATCATCACTTCAAAACCTGCCGGTCAACCACCAAACTGTGCCTCAATTGTGGAGGAGCTCACATCGCCGTCTCCATGGACTGCCAAGTACGACTAGATGAAATAAATAAAACAGTAACTGCCAACCCAACAACCAATCAGCCGGCGAGCTTCAATATCCAAGCTACATCGTTTCCAGTGCTTCCCAACGCTTCTGCTTCTGCTACACAGACGTCCACACCAGGCCAGACCACCCCCCAATGGGGACCCAGGACACAGGGGACTGCAGTAGTAGTAGAAACAGTTGAGAGGCGGGCCGAAAGAGCAGAGCTCAGCCCCCGCAATCACAACTAGGTGAATACACACACACACGCACGCACGCACGCACGCTCCGCGTCAACGGAAAGATTGGCTGGGCACCAATCCTACACTGATCGTCCCTGTTCACTTAGCAGTAATTGGAGACCTGGTTGTAAACCATTTTGGTATGCGGATCGTGTTCATGGAAAAGCATGCAGTGAATTATGGAAAGAGAAAGCTCTATGCCTGCTAACAGGAGTCAGTATAAATATACTCTTGTATCCATCTTGTGTAAAAAGAGAGGGGGGGGGGGAAGAGAAAGGTGAGAAAAGGGGGGGAGTTGGGGACGTTTTAGCTTGCTCACCTCCCACAACACACCTGCACTCCGAAAAATTCATATAATTTCATTGAACTCCACCCGTGACAAGACCAGGAGCCACACTGCCAACGGTGGCACCTTACACTTTGTGCGAGTATAACATTTCATAATTATCTTAGCAAATGTCACTGCGTGCCTCATGCATGAAGGCGTCATGTAGCCGTATCACATGTTCTCACTCAATCTATTATTATTATTATTATTTTCACCATGAAGCCATAATTATATCTTCAGCACTATTTATTTATTTATTTACTTATATACAAGACGGTACATTGGGTTTGTGAGAATACATAGCATAGTATTTACAATCTTGTAAAGCCACTAGTACGCGTAGCGTTTTTATTTTATTTATACTATACTATTATTTTATACTATTAACGCCTTTTACTATCACCACCATTAACTCCTATTATTCACGCCACAATTCCTGTACATACCCCTATTAGCCCCTATTCCCACAAAAATTAGCCCGCCATTATTCCCACCCTTATTAACTCCAAGCAATAAACCAGGTATAAGAAAGTTACAAGTTACCAGTTACATGTTAACTGTTGTGGTCACATCCTGGGAGATGGTCAGTCCTTAACATTATCCTCCATTATTTTTTTAATTAACGCATTTAGGTACATCTGCATTCGTGCAGCTACGCTAGACTATATGACGGAGAGTACTGCGTGTCAAAAACCAGCTACGTGATGCTAAAAAATCCCCATCACGCAGGATGGTTAGTTATACAGAGGCATGTGATAAGTAGTCTGTATTGGCAGACTCTGGGTGCATTATGAGGATATTATGAACACAAGAGTGAATAAGGTAGTAGTGGTACTAAAAGTCCGCAACTCGCAGGATGGTTAGTCATACAGGGCCATATGTTCAGTAGCCTACATTGGCAAATTTTGGATATACTATGAAGATATCCTCAAGAACACAAATATAGTACATGTAGCAACTGTTAAGGACATGTACATGTTAATTCATGTATTATGTACCCCATACCCATTCTGTCTGTGGGCGTTCGTGGAAATGGTTACAGAGGCACATAATGGATTTAGGATCTGTTGTATTTTTTTTGTTTGTAGTACTGACCTCGTCTTGGGCCCGAGAAAGAAGGCAACTACCTAATTTAATATTTCCCAGACCTCGCAAATCTATGTTCTAACTTCTAAATAAAGCCTAAGATGGCATATATTTGGCATAGCATTGTTTATTTAGGCCTAGAAACAGTCAAGTTTGTTTCAGTTTTACGTTATGTAAGAATAACAAAACCTGGATTTTTTGTGATTGCTACAGTATATATATTTAGTACATACCATTTACACATACAAGTCATATTGTACCAGTTTAGTTATAGTTTATTTCATTTATTATGCACCCCATACCCATCCTGTGGGCGGTAGTGGAAAAGGTTACAGAGGCACATAATGGGCTCAGGGACTGAACCCCACAATTCATTTAGCTAAGCAAGTTATAATCTTGATGAGCTAGTTACAAAATTCAGTGTAAGTCGTCACATCATCAATGAGTTCGAGATCGATCACAAGTACAGTTTCTAAATTAATCTAAATTAAGCAGCTGACACATGTGGAGAGCTAGTGTCACAATTGATATGTTTGTCCTGCACACTGCCCCCATCCAGGGGCAGCGGTGGATAGGTTACAATCACTTAGTTACTACCTACAGTTAGCAAACTGGGGATATTTGGCTAAAATTTCTGGAGCAGATAATTTTGAATGAAATATTTACACATCGTTGGAACATTGGTTATAGAATTGTCTCTGAATTCTCGTATCTTTTCGCACTCCATCACATAGTGACGGAGGGTGTGCGAATAATATTGTTGACACAGTTTACATTTGGTCAGGTCTACATCAGCAGATAATGAGAATTACCAGATACCGCATAATTGCGCTTAATAGAAAAGTTAATCACAAATTGTATTTTAACTTTTAATTAACAATACATTATTTTTAAAAAAAACTTTTCTCTGTGAATCTAATTTCAAGTATATAATATACGTATGAAATACGGAATACTTAATTCACATTCATACACGTAAGGTAATATGGGTGGAGGCGAACGGTGACGGCAAACTCAGCCGATCATGTATTGGGTAATGGCCGGCAGCCAGCACCATCACCAAGCCGTCATTTTCCATGCCAGCAACCACAGACTTTCACGGGTGGTTCTCACTAGTGAACACTTCAATAATGATTAACTTAAACTTTCACTCTCGATATTTTGAAAAAGCTCGTCTGTCT